ATAAATACTTTTAATAAAAAGGATTAGAGTTTACATGCTCCACAAAGAAGATATGTCCTAAGTTGGCACAAGATACATTGTATAATCCAAAATAAGAGGCAACGTAAAAGATGGTGTCTCATATACCATAGTTACACCTCTGGTGCTTTCTCGGCCGGACTCGCTCCTGTAAAAATATTAACCACGGGGAATGAGACTTAAAAGTCCCAGTAACCAAAAATTAATATGTAATGATACATGCGGATGTAACTAATCATGCGACTGCTAAGTGGGCACACAAAATATTTAACCGAACAATATTTTCAAACAAACCGAACAAGTATTTAATTGCATGACTGCACCTTATATCCTCCTTTCACCATGCTCGGACGCCAAATCACCCGGCCAAAGGTGAGTTGGACCAAGCGACACGCCACTCATTGGGTCCAATGAGGGCTTACCACGTGGTAATAATTAACCGAATAGAAATTTCCATTAACACCATACATTAAAATACCCTGACAAGTCATGCATCATTCAAATATCCAAATAGAAATATATCCGAACAATAATATCTCATCAAGATAAACAAAAATAAATTTTTAACCCACTTGGCAATGATTTCACAGAAGTATATAACAGTATTTATTTTCAATAATTCATAATTTTTCTAAATAACAAAACAACACATAACCATTCACAAACATACCCATCACAACACATTAATAATGGTTACCTTGTGTTTGAATAACAAGTTCCCCTTCACAACTCCTTTTTCACCACTATCTTTGTCAATATAATCTACATAATTATTTTACAATACTATATATTAATTTTACATTAAAATAAATAACTCTAATTTAAATAGTTAGAAAGTCTTAGATCTATAATCTATATTAACACTAATTTAAGATTTATGCCTCATTTAACTTCCTAAATTCTTTTCTAAAATTCTCATACCCTAATAAACTATTTTTTTTATCCTCAAATCACTTCTAGTATCACAATTTCATCCTTCTATATTCTAAAAATTCATCCAAAAATAAATTAAAAATTTTAAAATTATCCTGAAGCCTCAAATCACCTTTCTATAACCTTAAAAATACCTATTCATATTTAAATAAATATTTAATAATCATAGGTTTATCCCTACATCTCAGATTGCACATAAATTCAACCATATAGATCTAGATTTTAACTCAAAAATTCTTAAACATGAGTTTCAACCTCAAGAAAATATTCTATAATATTTATTATATCTCTAAGAGTTTTAACCTATATTTTTAATCCATCATATCATCAGATTAACTATCCTATAGAAAAATCCTAATCAAAATATTTACTCTATCCTACAAAATAATCATATCACTAGAAAGCTAATATTATTTAGAAAATAACTATAAAATTAATTTTGTAATTAAATAAATTTTTAAATGCTAATTTAAACAGGAAAGTTAGAACATACCTGAAGAAAAAGAAAATAATTCCCCTTTGCGAGAAAACACCGAGCAACGTGAGAGGAAGAGAGAAAAATAATATAAAAATAAGATTGTGAGTCCTAAAATTATATTAAAAAAAACTATAGGTCTGAATTTAGTTATTCAAACTTTTGGGTCATAAGTTACAATTTTTTCTAAATTGCATCTTAGCCTCTCATGCTTCCTAATGCACACACCCCCTCCTTTTTATACATGAAGGCACCTCTTCTCTTCCCTCATCTAACCAATGTGAGACTTAGAAACAACAACCTTCCACTCCCCCTTTTTTTTGTTCCTTCTACCTTCTCTCTCTTTTTTTTAACACACACATAAAAAAATTATTTATGTATTATATCTTAACTAAATTGCTTATGTGGTTTTAAATTTAAATTTTTAAATTCATAATTAAATACCTAACTATAATATTATTTCTAAATAATCTCAAATAATATAAATTCCTATTATTATCATTTTTTTCCTTAAAACCTAAATTCCACAATTTCTTTATTATATAAAAATCAGGATGTTACACATCCAGCTTGCTTCAAATTAATGCCTCTAGTTTTATCGCCATACCCAAGAATTATCACAGTATTGTTCACAACAATTTTTGTCTTCTTATTTATCTCGATTATTTTTCACAAGCACAAATGACAAATCCTACTTTTATGTGCCCAAAAATTCTTTCACAAAATATCAAAGGTTTGTTTTAGGATAGGCTGAATAAAATTAATGCATGAAGAAGGAAGTCAATGTTTTGAAGAATAAGTTAATACCATGAGAGGATGTTGAATGAGAAGGGAGTCGAAGAAATTACATGATTTCTCTTCATCAAAAGGTAGGTAATTTTAATACACTCATAAGGGTATTTTAGGTTAAAAGTGTTGATTGCTCTAATAACTTAGTACATTTTATAATGAAATATTATGTACAGAAACACAGGATTTTACAACACATATATGAAAGTAACTCAATATTCCACTTTTAAGATTAACTCCATTTATCAGAGGCAACCAGTTTAGTATTACGTCTACTCCTTTTCAAAGCACAATCAATTAATTACTCCTTTTTTTTAATAGTCCTCACCCCACCCTCCCAGAAGTCTTTTGGACTGTGCTCCAATACTTCTCATAGAGCCCAAGCTGGCTTTCTTCAAGGTGATACTTGGGTTATTTCTCACCCCATCAAAAAGATCTTTTGAAACCTTCCCAAACTTGAACCTTCAACATCTACCACCTTAAGAAAGTTGAGGTTAAATCTAATATCATTGAGGAATAATTCAAGTATCACCTTAAAGAAAGCTAGCTTAAGCTTTGTGAGGAGTATTGGAATCTAGTCCAAAAGACCTCCAAAAAAATAGGGTGGGAACTATTACATTTTTTTTAACAATTTTTAATGGATGAAAATTTATGGATAAAAACTTCCAAGTTATTAGAAAATATGATAAAGCTCCTTGTATTATGAATGAGAAGAAAAGTTGTAGACAATCTCTTAAAAAAGCACCACAGAATGTAAACGGTATGGGATTCCCACCAGTGGCTTAGCTTTGCAAAGTGGGGTGCAGTGTGCTAGTGCGTTCCTTGAGAACATAGGATAGGAGAAAACAACTTGCCACTCTGCCAGGTCATTTTGAGAGCCTGATCTTGGGACATAGGCTAGTTTCTGCATCTTCACCAGTAGGGGTGTTCACGGGACGGGACGGGATCCGTCCCGTAAAAAAAATCAGGATTGAATTTTGATCTCGTGTCCCGTCTCATCTCGAAAGTTAACTCGTCCCGTTAAGAGTCGAGACAAGATCGGGATAAGATTAGGACGTCCCACCATCCCGATAAATGGAATAATATCGAAAAAAGATCTGAATAATAATGTTTATTAAAATTTTAAATCATATAATTTATTAAGTTTAAAATTAAAATAACACAAGTATATAAATAATAATAATTTAAAATTAATTATTGAATTATATTAATTACAACTACACATTATAATAACAAATACAAGTGATATTAATGTTATAAGATTAGTAACAACAGGCAAGTCAAATATAATATTAAATCATTGTTCTTCTACTTTAGTGAAGATGTGCTAAGCTAATTACTCTTCTAAAAATAAAGCAAGAAATACATTATAAATAAAATTTATTAAATAGAGAGATATAAGAATAAATTATATTAATATAATTAATATATTATAAAGAAAGATATCGTCATGTTTACTCCATGTCATTAAAATTATCAATATAAAAAAACTTTAGTTTTAAATAAGAATTGCAAGTATTAAATTATAATTGATATAATTAATATATTTAAAATAAAAAATAATATATATAATATTCGGGATGAGACGGGATGTCTCGATAGTAATCCCGTGTCTCGCCCCATCTCGAACCCTTTTCTTGTCTCGTCCCGATTATTTTTGAGCAGGGACAAGACCCGTCCCAATATGATCAGGATGATATTGGGCCAATCGGAATGGGTCCAGACTGAACACCCCTATTCACCAATGATTTTGAATTGCATCATGTCATCAATTTCAATCCAATTAGAGCTCTGATAAATTTCATTTGATTCTATTTAATGCTACTTTTTTCAATGGACATTAATTTTTCAATTACTTCCTTTAATAAAATTCTTACTTTTCAGGAAGATGGCAATAGTTGAAGGGCAAAACTTAGGTATTTAAGTTTATGCCCTTAATATGCTTTCTTCCAATGTATTGTTGCCACCATGATGTTTTTTTTTTCAACTTTTTGCTTAACTCTTCTTAATAGAGTTTTCTACCATTGGCTATCAAAAATAGAAAGAAAATAAATCAAAACTTAATTCTTGTCTCAATTAACGCTGCAAATTTTTGAATCGTCAAACCTTTTTGTTTCAGTCAAACTTTTCTCCTCCCTCTTCATTCTCTCCACCCCTTCAAAACCAAACTTCCCCTCCCTTAAAATTTCACTTGCAAATTCACACACTGTCACGTTCATCTTCATTCTTCATCTTAATCTCACTATAATCATGTTGAATCGTCTTGACGCTCACACGAAAACTCTAACATTAGATTCATTCTCTTCCATGCTCTGCTCATATAAGCATAAATGTTGTAGCCCCTTAAATTTTGCTCTAAGCTCCTGCCTCTCTCACCACTTGTCAATTCCTTTTTACCCCAAACAATTCTTGCGATCCTCAGACAACGGAAGCTGAAGAATGGTGTCATGGAAAAGTTGCATTGGCAATGGAGGTTACTTAGGTGAGGATCAAAATCTTCGAGCATTAATTGAGACAAGAAATTAGGTTTATTTATCTTCTTTCCATTTTTGATAGCCAGCGATGGAAAACTCTGTTAAAGAAATTTAAGTGGTGAGCTAGAAAAAAAATCCAAGTGGCAATAATATGTTGGAGGAAAGTATATTAAGGACATAACTTAAGTGCCTAAGTTTTGCCTACAGTAAAAATGATAATTTGACGTTCTAATTTTTTCTCGTTTTGTGGTATTCTTTTCTACCACCAAAAACTATGTCTTGTCAAATGAAAGTATTCGCAACTTTAAAAAATGAGTCTGAGCGAATATACCTATGACGCTCTGTTTTTCTTTCAAAACAAGTTTAAGATTTGAGAGAAGATTTTATAATTAATGTTACAATTTTTGAGTTTTTATCTAAAGAATATGTTAGAATTTTATCGTGAGATGCCAATCGCATGTCTAGGAAAATGAAAATCCAAAGATCTGGGTCGAGAGCTGCGATTTTAGCACAGTGATTCAGGGGAACTTGTTGAGGGTGATCTGGATCCAGAAATTATAATCAAATCGGAGGAAGAGAAGTGCCAATTATGGCGACGGTATCTGCGAACTCACGATCGTTTCTTCTGGTCCTCTTCTTCTGCCTTCCTATCGCTCCAGACTCAGAAGCTCTCCTTCTCGCTGTGGGGCACCGGAAGTAATCTCTTACCCTCCTAATTCATGATCTTCATGATAATTTTGAGGCGCTGTTTTTGTGACGTTTTCTTCTGGTTTTAACTGTTTGAATTTGGGCAGCCATTGGAGAAGCGGTGAAACTCATCATGTAAAGGGCAGAGTTCTATTGAGTTTCAAGGAAAAGCCGGCTGGAAGCAACATTACCTTTGAATGCTCTCCTTCTGGTCTCTGCGTCAATTGCCTTTACTCTGAGAAGGTTGCCTTTCTGTTCCTTTTAGAGCATGAATTTGTGCTTGATCCCATGGTTTTTTGTCCGGAAAGATAGTTTTGAGTGCTTGGGATTGCCCGTTTGTGTATTTATTACGTGAATTGTCGCGGATGAGTTTTAACTTGCATGGTCTTAATAGATGTGCATGTGTAAGATATTAGGTTGTTTAGCAAGTACATACAGGCAGTATGTTTATTGGACAACGTGAAGTGTTTCAGATCAAGCGCAAGTAGCTTGCAGTTTCACTCACTGTGCCAAATCATGTTTTAGTTATTGTTGGTCATGTTATATAGGAATAGGATAAATGTAATGCACTTGGTTGCGATTCAATCTATGCGAATGTAATTCTCGTTTTTTTTTTTTTTTTGGCCTGCTACATCTGAAGCATCTGCTCATTGCTGCAAATGCTCACATGTGTTGCTTGTGAAAGTTGTGATTATGTTTTCTTATATGGCCCTAAGAATGAACTCGACTGCATTAGTTTAGCCATTTCATTTTGCAGCTAGCTGGATCATCAATCCAATTGTGGGATTGAAGGTGGATGAGATATATAAATTCTGCTAGGAATCTGAACTGATTCAAGTTTCTGATTTTTCTAGTAGATATTGATGAGCTATAAATTCATTTGCGACAAGTTCAATTTGTTTAAACATGGGAAAATTAAACATTGTCATGACTAATTTCGTGACAGTCTTTATTAAGCCAAATACTGATGTGGAATTGGAGAGTTGCACAACATGATGACTTTGTGATATGGGACTTTAAATCCATGCTCTTCAGTTATCCCCTCCCAAAAGTAGTTATGTAAGCTTTCAAAACTCTTGAAAAAAAAAAGTAGTTTCAAACCACTGTTCAAGTCTACTTGTAGAACAGTGTAATATATCTTATTGCATGCCCTTTTGTGTGTGTGTGTGTTTTTTTTTTAATCCAGATGGAGTATCTTTTTCTTATACCAAAAAAGAAAAGGAGTATCTTTTCCTTTTCTGTTTTCCTGTGCTCTTTATCTGTAAGTTGCTTTTGGATTTGTAGGGTGACAGCAAATATCGCTGTAGTGAGACTGGCTACCATATCCCATTCAAATGTATAGAAATTAAAGTTTCTATGAAAGATTCAAAGAGGACAAATTCTCAAAATGCTCGATTGTCTTTGGAAATCTCTGACAAAATGGACAAATTGAATAATGCATTACATGATGCCAGAGAGTTTACTACTTCAGTGAAACATAGAAGTTTAGTAGATGATTCATTCGCTTCAGATAATAAATCACGGGCCTACATTACCTATCGAAGCTGTATACTCCCAGCTACCGAAGAGAAGTTGTCAGTGCTTAGGTTTGAGGTAATTTTCAGTTTTCAGGTGTTGGTTTTAATATTATTTTTTGTTATTGGCCTCTGCACTTGGTTGATTGGCAAAATCAAATCATACAGTGGGTGGGTCATATTCTGTTGTTAAATCAAAACAACCATATTAAAGGATCATAGCTGCAGGCCAGTTGATGTGCGCAAGGATGGAGCCTTTTTTTTTTGGGGGGGGGGGCACTTTTAGCTGAGAGATGGTTGGGTTTAACAAAGATGGGCTTGTATCTCCTAGATTCTTCTGGGTTTCATGATTGGGGTGAAAGAGGGCCAGCCCAAATTCAGTTTCTAATTTATAGTGGGGCGCTTCCCCACTATACACTTGCCTCCATCTCTGCATGTGTGTGTACAGACCTATATATTTTAACATCAATGAGTCAGTGAGCCTGCTCTCTTCTGGTAAATATTTCACAAGAGAACTTCCCAGCTGTATTCCGAAACATTTCCAGTGAGTTTGACCAAGCACTCAATTAATTGTCAAGTGCACAACTCTCCAAATTTAAGTATGTAGACTTGGTCAAGGACCATTCCACGACCTATGCTATGCTAATTGTGGTAATTTTGCTAATGCACATTGAGTTTACATTTTGAGTATAAGCCACTAGCATATCTCATATATATATTAGTGCCTCCAAGTCAAAGGATGCTTCAGGTGCTTTGCCTGATCTTCATACTATTTGAGCAGGTATCTATCCTGCTGGAATCAAAACCTTGAAAGGACATTGTGCTATATATCAATGGTTTGTTCATTCTCCCATCTACCTTTTCCAAGGATGGAAGTCTGCATTAATTAGAACTATCCTGCAGTGAGTTGTCAGGCATTATTACTAACTCATTGATGGCATCATTTTGATTGGTTTTATCGGTTTGTTTTCTACTGACGTCAGACGGATTGCAATCTCCTTGTTTATCGGAATTTGACAATGTTAATGCTACTTGGCTTTGGCTAAGGTGGTTGGCGGTTAAAGGTCATGGGGTTCTACGTTCTATGGATTTTTTTTTTTTTTAAAAGGAATTCAATGGAGTTAAATGTGATTTAGGCTTACAATTTGCTGGATTTGATTTCACTTCTCATGATCTTCATGTAGTATTGATGTAGTATTAGAAACTGAACTATTTTGGAAGGATTGCTTTGGTTGGCTATTCTCAGAAGTATTTTCGTTGTTGTTCTTTTGGGCCGGGGATTCTGCTTATCATCTTCAGATTAGGTCTCAATTTATTTTTTTGGTTAATTTTTTAATCATGACGAATTTATTTGGTGATTAGTTCTCAGACAGTAGTAGACAAGACGGCGTGTTAGTGTTCATATATTTTGTGAAACACATTGGACAGGGGATCGTGATTTTTTTATTTCTCGTTAGTGGATCAATCATATTGCTGAGGAAAAAGAAGGCAGCTTCGGTATCGGCTTTTGCAGCCGGAAGGGTTCAGATGAGCTGTCGGTTTTGACACATAAACCTGTTTTATGATACTATTTTCTCCATGTTCAAGCTTTTGCAATCAAACTTTTGTAGCGACCAAACTCAGAACTGCATCTATCAGAGAAAACTAGAGGTGAAAATGGATGCTGCATGGTTCTCTGTAGAGGCTAAATATTCACATTAATTATGGTAAGATTCAAATATGATAGGATGGACCTGTTTTGGATTTGAGGTAAAATTCCTTAATTGTTTGTTACAAGGTTTTTCCCGTTGACATGATGGCTGGCATCTGTCATGGGAAAGAGCCAGTTTAGAGAGTCAGGGAGGTGTAAAGAACATTTACTTAACATGTTAATAAAAATTTGATAACATATACTTAAAATCTGAATTAAATTTTAATTCACAAAACGAATCACGTCCCCCTTGTGCCACATGCATTAAGGCCCCCAAAAGAAAAGAAAACATGCCATTCGTATTTCTCAGTTTTATCTTCTACAATGGGTCGATCTGGAACTGTGGAAGACCGAGAATATCTAAAACGACAGTGTGCCATAGGATTTTCTTTCCTAGCAGATTGATATAGCTACGAACCTAATTGGATCTCCAGGGAACATCAATGAACATTTTCGCTTTCCTCATTCCTCACGACTCAGTTCAAACTGGACACGGGACATTATACGAACAAATAATGCCATCAAATCGGCTTCAAACGGACATCAACTATATCCAATGACATCGCTTCAATCTGTCTGGAAATTATATTTCGTGTATCTCCAATGCACCTGTTACTACTCAACCCTCAGTACCAGGGATACGATGTTATGTGAAATAAAAACCTGCACTTTCATGTGGCACGATGGGGAAGTCCCAAATCAACATGACTGTCAGATCCCAAAATATCCTCTCTAACTTGAGATACTAAAAAAATTACACGAGATATACCATGTTATCGCTGCTTCCTCCTCAAAAATATACAACACTAATTCATGGCCGCCAGTTCTCCCATAGGTTTCTTGTGCAAAAGGCAGCAGCATCAGCAGGCAAATTCCGAAAGAAAGAATATGTTGATGATAACCCAACATTAAACAGGGAAACTCCTCTCCTCTTAACAACACATCTACAGTAACAGCAGAAAACAATAACTACAAACGGCTGGAAGATAAATGGAATTATAAAAAATAATCCGGGGTCTTCCTTGTAGTGTCAGGCTCGATTTGCCGGGGTGCTGGATCAAACTGCAGAAAATTCTGATCCATGTTCTCTCCAATTTTCCAGTATTGCAGCCATATTTCCACATCGGTAACAGTAATTTGGAGCACTAAATACGGTCACAACATTCTTGTCCTAAAAAAACCCATCAATTTAAAAAAGTCAATATAAGGAAATGGAGAAAATACCCCAAAACCAAACAGAAAATAAAATTATACATATCACAAAGATCATTCATGGACCTGGCACCAATTGTAACCTTCCATGACAAGCTGGTGGGCTCTAGATATCAACGAAAGACCATTGGTGTGATTGAAGTGAGCAGCTATATCCTGCCCGAATGTATATCCAGCACCACGAGGAGATATTCCCCATCCACAACGGTCATCTGGATCAGACCATAAGAGATCACACATTGGTCCTTCGTGAGGAACCTGCAATGTATAAGCACAATGTCAAGCACCCTAGGTTTAACAATTGCTAGGCATCCAATTAACTTCAACACTGGTTTAGATATGAATGTTTGCAAGTGGCATCACATTGTTAGCCAAAAAATGGAACAGCTGAAATTCTTTGGGCACCTATCACGGTTGATAACATGGTAGGCACAAGACCAAGTGCAAAGAGAAGCAGGCAATTATTCAACATCACACAGATTATTTCTCAACATATACCAAACAATAAGAGCAAATCTTTAGCTCATGTTTCCATTATAGCAATCTTTATAGTACATGGCTTAATATTAAATGGTTCTCAATACCATATCACATAAGCTGATGCACAGGAGTCAAACTAGTCTTTAGTAACACATACCTCTTGTATGCGATCCAAGGCCCGGATATTATCCAGTGTATCCAAAGAAGGTGAGAGACCTCCATGCAAACAGAAATCTACAACATACATAAAAGTTATTGGCTGGCATAGGAATACTCAGAAGAAAGTTGTGCAATCTAATTAAATCAAACCTGACTCTCAATAAGTGCAGTCAGAGGTAAGTAATCAAATAAGTCGGTAAAATACTTCCAGACATTAGCATTTCCATATTTTCTCAAACATTCATCATAAAGCCATACCTGAAAATAGAAGGCAAAAAATACAGATGCATTGGTGAGTTAACAAACAAAAATCATACTAAAAAAATTGTCTTTGTGCTGAAAAAGAATTCATTCTTCCCTACTATATTCCAACCAAATATTGCTGGTACTAACAGATGTCAAGTCATAAATTCTATCCACAAAAGATGCCCTCAGGCTTCAGGCTTCTGCACAATATTTTCACTAGGCATGACTTAAGAGTGCCTTTCAAATGTAATGCTTCTTGACATCGGTGCATCCAATTCATTTCTAGAAAATAAATGCACTTTGATATTGAATTCTTTTTTTTTTTTTAGAGAGTTTTGACTATCCGGTATTAATATAAATATGCCCTTTTGTCTTGTCAAGATGTTGTAACGCTATAATTAGTTAAACCAAGCTGCTGTTTCTAAGCCTATACACCAAACTGTCTATACATCATAAAACCCAGATTACTATGAAGGCCAGAGTGCTCATGCAATCTTACACTTGAGTAATTTGCCGGCTCTCATGATTTCCTCTGAGAATTGTAATTCTATCTCTATAACGAACTTTCAAGGCCACCAAAAGTGTAACAGTCTCCACTGAATAGTAACCACGATCTGCAGAAATTACCCCAATACAATGATCGATAAGGAAGGCAAGCAGTTTCATTGATGTGATTTTCAATGCTTTCAACATCATTTAAAGAAGTACTGTAGTGATACGCAAAAAAGTAGTAGTAATGACAAAATCTAGCAACATATAGCTAAGACTCCTTAGTGTTAGTCAGTACTATCTGATAACATTGAAGCTGATATCTCCCACATCCTCTCTCCGACTCTAGAGTAGAGCCCAGAAAAGGCAAAGAACTTTTCATACAAGTCACATACTGTGATGCATGGTTAAAAATCTCAATATCAGTAACACATCACATGGTTCCCCTAATGTTCCCAAGATACGTTGTCAAAGGAATGACTTGAGTGTCGTTGCAGAGCTTCTCCATGAGTTGATAAAAAATCTTATTTTTTGTTTCATCTTATCACCACACCACTTTTATAGACCTGAACACCACTATCCTCAAACCTTGATTCATATGATATATAAACTAACAACATTTGGGAAGTCACAGTATAAGAGAGATTCATGACTAACACAATTCTTTGCGCATTACTCTTTATGACATCATAACATTTCTTCAATTCCAACAACCCTATAGTACAAGTTGTAGGCAAGCTCCCACAAGAAGACTTAATTACTATACTTTCATTCTCAAAGCACTCCGCTAATATCCATCATCGTGCAAAGTTACAATAATTTGGCACTTTCATGCGGCTTCAGAGTTATAACATGATATGTAGGACACATTTCCACATTAGAAACAAACAAGTTTATTATACTTAGCAATAAGTCTAGTCTAAACTGGTGGGACATTACCAGCTAGAACCTTATTTTGAAATAATAAAGCAGGAACACTGCAAACAGTAGAAATGTCCATGTCTGTCACATAGGAAAGTCCACCTATATAGTACCGTTAAGAACTGAAAGAA